AAATCTTTTTACAATTATAATTACTTCTTTAGGAGTTTTATTAGCAAAAAAATCGGATAAATTATCACTGTTATGTTTGGTTTTGATTAAATTTAGAAATTTGGCTTCATTTGCCACATTTATGACTAATTTTTTTACATTTTCTACTCTTCCAAACTGGCCTTTACCTTCTTCTTTTCACTCATTAACTTTATTTTCGTCAAAGACTCGAGCTATGTCATCGTCAACTACTTTTAACTCCTCTTGCCACTCAGTAGCGGTTTTTTTATCTTTATTGTCCTCTTGATTTTTTGGCAGCGGTGTTTCTTTGTTTTTAATATATTCTACTTCAATAAAATCACCTATTTCAAATCTTTGCTTATCTTCCTCGGACTTTTTTCAAGAAAGTTTATAATTAAACTCTAATGATGATAACATTTGACCCATTCCGACAAGAGGAATATTTTTGAGAGCAGGATGATCCCTTTTAATATTAATTATCCTATTAGGATTTTTCAAAAAAAAGCCAGCAAAATCTTGTGGATTAGGTCACGTATTTGAACCGGTGGCTTGAGCCATGAAAGTTACTTTGTCTTGGTTATTATCCTCCTCATTATTATCTTCTTCCTGAATTAAAATATTAAATTCGTCCCTTAAATTATGCCTTTCTGTATCTACTTCCAAACTCGCCATTTTTCCAAGTTTGTTCTCAATACTTCCTGAAATACCACTTCCTCAACCCATTTCAGGATTTTCGGAATTAACAATTGCTTCGGCGCCGTGAACTGATTTTTCGCATAAGTCTCCTTGTACTCTCCTTGTTTTGCTAATAACAGTCGAATAATCCGGGTCCTTTTCAAATTTTTTTCAGGCCTTTTCGTAATAATTTCCGTCAAAATCAACAAAAACAACTTCTTCCAAACCCGAGCAAACTTTTAGTTGGTTTAAAGCACCTTGGACGATGCCATCGGCTAAAGGTTGTTTAGAATTCTCATTTCTGCAATAAATTTTTCCTCCTAAAAAACAATTGGCGAGTTTTTTTATTCCGCTTCGCTCGGCTAAAATAATCGAGTTTTGCATGGCTTTAGTAGCCTTTTCCACAAAGGTTTCTAGGCTGTTTCCCTCGGGCATTGGAGTAGCATGGATAATATGCTTAATTCCTTGGTCTAAAAGTTTATTTAATTTTACTTTTTTATGAAAAGGAACATCATATTCATGTTGACTACCGACACTAGTTAAAAGAGCACAACCATAGGGAATTCTCCCCGATAATTTTTTAGTGTTTTCAGTCCCAACCGAGGAAATTTCTAAATTGGGAGTTTCTTGATATTCAGGTTCTTTTTTTGTTGGAGTTAAGGCAAGGAATTTATTCATAGATTTCGACTTTAGTTTCTACTTGTTGTTTCTCTTTCTCTAATTGTTGCTCTCGATTTTGACGTCGATTTTTTAAGACAATTAACTGTTTATTAGCCGGTAATGAATTATCCTGTAAGTTTTGGATTTGATTATCCCAATAGGCTCCATTTGCTAAACGACTTAAATCAGTTTCTTTTTCGATACCTGCTCTTATGGCTTCTCATTTTCTTTCTGCTTCGGTTTGGAGTTTGGTTTGTAGTTCTGCGATTTGGGCTTGTAAGTTGTTAACGGTTTGTTGATTATTGATTAATTTTTGTTTTTGGTCTTGATATTGTTCTTGTAATGTTGTCATAAATTTTATTATTTCAGTTAGAATAACTTTCTTCTTAAACTTATTTTACAAAAAAAAAAAAAAAAAAAACAGTGGGGTTTTGCAGCAGAGTTTTCATTTTTTATCCACTATTTTCCACTCGACAATATATTAACAATGTTAAAATATAAAATATATGAAAAAAAAACCTAAAAAGAAATTGGTCAAAGGTACTCAAGAAAGGCCACGGGTAGTTTTGAGCGAGTCTAATCGTTATTTACGGGTTCAGGCGATAGATGACACATTAGGTAATACTTTACTTTATTCCTCTACTGCTGATTTTACTGAAAAAAAAGATGACTATTCGCGAAAAAATAAAGACTATGCGAAAAAATTGGGAGAAATATTTGCTGACAAATTAAAGAAAAAAGGACAAAAAGATATTGTTTTTGACCGTAACGCCCGTCCTTATCATGGAAAGATAAAGGTATTTTGTGAAACAATGCGACAACTGGGAATTAATTTCTAATTAAAAAATGGATAACTATAAAAGCGAGAATAATTTAACCAATGAAGAAAAAAAGGATTATCCAACACCCTCATTAGAAAAAAAAAATGATGAGGCTGGGAAAGGGGATAGAACGGAAAATTTGAGTGAGTCGAATAAAAGAGGAAAGTGGAGAGAAAGAAAGCCTGAACAATCCCAATTAAAAAGTGAAATATTGGAAACAAGCAGGCCAACAAAAGTAACTAAGGGTGGTAGAAGATTTAGTTTTACTTGTTTAGTTTTAGTGAAAGATGAAGGTAATAAGGCAGTTGCTTACGCCCGTTCGAGAGGAAAAGAAGTTATGAGAGCTTTTCGTGGAGCCTTTCGCAAAGCTCAGGGAAAATTAATAACTTATTTTCCTATTCCTCCTCGCTCCATTGCTCGCGACGTAGTAGTAAAGTGTAAAACTATTAAACTTCTTTTAAAACCGGCGCAGGAGGGGAGCGGAATCAAGGCTAGTGATGAACTTAGAAAATTATTCACTTTTCTTGGGATTAAAGATATAAGTGCTAAAATAATTTCTTCTCATGGAGCTCAAAAAAATAAACTTAATGTTATTCGAGCTGCTTTTTTGGCTTTGGATGAATTAACCGGTAAAAAATATAAACATTAAACCTTTAATAATATAAATTATATGAGTGCTAATAATTATCTAGTTCCTATCGTAAAGAAAAAAAGAGATTTTGGTCGAGGCATTGGCTCAGGAAGAGGAAAAACGTGCGGTCGCGGTGGTAAAGGACAAACAGCACGAACCGGAGGTGGAACTCGCCCTGGTTTTGAGGGAGGGCAGACCCCTGTTTTTCGTCGTTTCCCTAAGCATGGTTTCAAAACTTCAAAGTTATTTTATCAAATAGTTAATTTAGAAAAGTTAGAGAAAGATGAGAAAATAGTGAGTGGTCAAACAGTTGATTTTTTAAAAAATAAAGTGCCAACTAAAATATTAGGTAAAGGAAAATTGACTAAAAAATTAATCATTAAAGCGATTGCTTTTTCCCAAAAGGCACAAGAAGAGATAGTTAGAGCAGGCGGAAAATTTGAAACAATACAAAAATAATTTAATTTATGACAGAAAGTAGTAAAGGGAGAAGAATTAGGCAGCGGCGTTATGTTTTCTTTTTTGCTTGTTTAGCCAGTTTACTGGGATTAGCATTTTACATTTTCGGTCGGCACAAAATTCCTTTTCCGCATCAATGATTACCCAACATTAACAGTAATAATTGCGAATCTATTAGAGCCAGCAAGTTATTTTTTTTGGGGATTAGCATTCACTTACAAATCAATTTTTTTTTAGGAATGTTTTTCATGTTGTTAAACACTGAAAAAATGGACCAAATTAAACTCCGAAAATGGAGGTTCTGGGTTAGTAAAGGTTTGGTCTTCATCTTTTCATTGATTTTCGGATTGGCGTATTACTGAGAGGCCTTAAAAATTGGCGGAGGAAGCAAAGTATTATGAGGTCAAGTTATCTTTTTATGTTTAATTATTACGGTAATTAATTGCTGTTTGTTAGAATTGCTTATTCAATTAATGAACCAATATGGAATTTGCAATGCTTTTAACCTTATTCTTTTTACTGAATTCTTGCCTTATAATTGAATTCAAGAAGGAAAGTGGGGTTTTGGTGAGTTATTTTTATTATTCCTCATTACCATTTTTTTCATTTGGATAATCAATTTGAAGTGGGAAGTGCCAGTGGAGACTAATTCTCTTTATAGCCAGGATAGTAAATTACTGAAAAAAAATAAATCTAAATTAGGGTTTCGTTTAAGTTTTGGTTTCATGCCATTAATTTATTTGTCTACTTTTATTTCTTATATTTATACTTTAGTTCTGATGAGAAGAGAAGGAACAGATTGATTTAACTTTGATAGTATAAGTAGTAATTATAAAGAGACTAATAGCGTTAAGGTTAAAAGCAGTCTAAAAGGAAAAGGATTTTGGGAATCATTTTTACACCTTGGTGATAGTTCTACTAAGGAAAGCAAACGAATATTTAATTTTGATAATATAGGAGAATGGTTTAAAACCAGCGGATGAATGATTATTGGGGTTCTTCTGTTTATTGTTTTTCTTCGTTGGCTTATTACCTGATTGGAAATGCGAAAAATTAGATGAGAAACCAGCAAAATTAGTAAGGAATTAAGGGGTAGAGGTATCTATATTGATAAGGTTTCGCCTGGTACTTCCACCCGTAATTTACTGAGAAAGATAATTAATAAATTAGTAGTTTTTTGAAATTTTATAGTTTTAGGGTTTAATATCATTTTTGACAATGTTTTCAAAAATACAGCCTTGTCTTTTGCTAATTGGTTCGGAGGTGTTAATATTGGAGTTGATTTAGTTAGACAAATCCAGACTAAGTACAAGTATATTGAGGCTAATACTTAAATTTGCTGTAATTTTTTTTTCCAATTCTTGGCCTAGGCGAAATAAAACCTTATTTTATTAATATAATAAAATTGAAAATATAAAAGACCAAGATATGATAAGGGAAGAAAAAAAAATACCGAGAGGAAAAAAAGAAATATTAAAAGACCTAACTAAATGATGTTCTGATCCAGCGGGACTTTTGGTTGATGCTGACCTTTTTAAAGATCGAAATTATGGGTATTTTGAAGGTTATTATTTTCGTTTTTATCAAGATGATAAAACTCATCCTAACTGGCGAACCGAGCCATGTATCAGTTATTTTGACCCCGCCAAGGGAGAAAGAGAACTCGAACTTACTGAGGAAGACTTTCAGGAAATAGAAAGAGCAATAATTAACGAAATTAAGCAGAATCCCCGAGATTGAAAACTGGAAAAGGATGGTGAGATGGATGTAGTAAGACACAAATCTGGAAGGAAGCATTGAAGAAATTATTGAGGGTTTGTAGGAAAGCCATCAGGAGAAGAAGCATGAAAAGAAGAGTGGCAGGAAATAGAAGATGCTATAAATAATCCAGAAAGGACTATTCGAGAAGTCCAAGACCTGACCCAAAAATTAAAAAAAATTCAAGGGGCTTTGAAAAATGTAGAGGACCAATCCTACCTACAAGAGGAAATGGAAAAAGCCGAAAAAGAAGTTGCCACAGCCAACCCTCTTCAAGCCACTAAGTCCTTTTTGGAAAGTTTAGATCAGCAAATGGAGAATAATGAAATTACTAGTCCCACTGAATTAGGTCCTGAAATTAGTGCCAAATATGAAGAGTTAAAAGAAAATACTATTACTGAACCTAATTTAATAGTAGAAACTAAACACCAAATTAGTGCTCAAATCGGAACCCTAGGAGCTCAAAAAAGATTTGCTAAATTAGTCAGCCAATACCAAGTCGCTTACCAATCCAGTAATAAAGCCCAAAGAACCTCCGTTAGAGATGCTATAACTTCTTTCTTACTTAGTACTAACATTTATGACCAAAACTTAATCTCAAAAAGAGAAACTGAATTAAAAAAAATGAAACAAGACTTAGAAAATCAGTTAACTAACCAACCCAGCCAATCCAACTCCCCCGAACAACTTCCTTGAAAGGTAATAATCTCCCTAATTCTTGGAGCTCTCTTTTTAGTGGTATTAGTGATTGTGTGAAGGAGGAAGAAAAAAAGTAATTAGAAAAATTTTTTTTGTAGTCAAGGATTTTGAATTTGTTGTGCTCTTAATAAATACTGCTGATATTCGTTTTGTAATTTTTTGACTTTTCCGTGATTTAGAATTCATTCAGAATCCACTTTTTTAACTTTTTTCAGTCAGGAGCAGAATTTAGCCTCTGTGGTTTTTATTCCAACGCTTATCCAATCTTTAACTTCATCATAACTGAAGCCGAGGTTCTTCCATTCTCGGACTAGTTCAGGGGTGAAATCGAATTTAATATTTTTTCAATTTCTATCGTCAGAGCCAGTAATTTCTTCAATTTTTCTTTTTTGATAGGCTTTGTTAACATTAGTCTCGAACACTCTAAAATTTTGAATTGTTTCTCGGACTATTATTTTACTTTCATAGGTTTGTCTTAATTCTTCTAATCGATCATCTGCTTCATCAGGAGAAACACCCTCACTTCTTAGATAAGAAGCAAAATCAGCATCTTCGGGACTAAGACCTGCTACTTCAATTCATTTTTCAACTTGTTCTTCTGTGAAATTGTGGCATTCCCATTCTCTTTGCAGTTCTTCGGTAAAATCTTGGTGGATATCGGTTCATTCAGTCATAAATTAATAATATATTATATATGAATTTTAATCTTTAAATTTGAAGGTGATTTGAATTGTAATAGTTTTTTTGAAAGAATTTATTTATTTGGCAACAAAAGAGAAATAAAAATTATAATAAATGGATAGCGAATTATTATGACAGGAATTCAACTTAGATAAAATTGATTCTGCTTGAACTTCCTTTTTTCGGCAAGAAGCCCAAAAAAATTATTTCTTTCCTTTACTCGCAAAAGTGAAAACAGAATACGAAAATTATAAGTGTTGGCCTAAAAAAGAAAATATTTTCCGCCTTTTTCAGGAAATTTCCTTGTCGCAAATAAAGGTAGTAATATTGGGTCAAGACCCCTACCATTCCCCAGGAACGGCGGACGGAATTGCTTTCAGTACTCAACGATTTAATTATATTCCACCTAGTTTAAAAAATATTTTTTCAGAATTTAGTCAAGACCTTAACTGTTCTCCACCGACCAAAGGTGATTTACTGCCCTGAGTTAAAGAAGGAGTTTTTTTAGTCAACACTGCTCTAACCGTGCGGGATGGTCAAGCCCTTTCCCATATGAGTTGGTGAAAAGAGTTTACTTATTCTCTTTTAACCTATTTAAAAAGTCATAATGAAAAATTAATTTGGATATTTTGAGGTCAAAAAGCCCGAAAGATTGGCGAAGAATGTCAAATCAGCAACAGTTATAGTTTAATTAGTACTCATCCTTCCCCCTACAGCGCCGAACATGGTTTTTTCAGTTCCCAACCTTTTTCAAAAACCAACAAACTTTTATCGGCACTAGGGAAAGAGCCAGTTAATTGATTATCTATTTTGAAACCAAATTTAGAAAAGACCTAACTAAACTGGTTTTTTAATACTCCTTTTTCTTTTAAAAATAAGAATAAACCCTATTATTCCTAACATTAAAACTCCACCAATGCCACAACCTATTCACAGCATTTTGTTATCATTTTTATTAGAGTTTTCAGTTGATGTTCTAAATATACTGTTTAACTCTTGCTGGCTTAGACTGGTTTTT